CATAGCTGCTCCATTCACACCTATGAAAGGCACTGTTAGTATAGTTTTGAACATTCTTGGATCCTTTTTCTCCTATTGCTTGTAGAACTGAAGTGAAATACAACTAGAGATTTTATTCAGACACAAGCTGTCTTTTACTGCTATTCTTTTGAAAATATCCTTGTATCTCGTCCTAAGAATGACATTCAATAGGAGTGAAAATGAGTTTCAGATTTCTGTGGCACACTTTTAATAATATAAATTGTTAGGTTTTCTGACGTGACTCCATATTTCTGGTTGTGGTAAAGAAACTAACTTCCACATACTTAAGTGAAATCAAATGCATAAGTCACTTTTGTGGTATTTTAGAGAGGCTTAGAAGTAGATGCAATAGCCATGTTTGGAAAAAAAAAAAAAAAAAAACCCAAACCAAAAGTACTTCCTTACTAAGATAAGGATGCATGAATCCAAATATTACAGAATTGCTTCTCATCTGTTTGTGAGAAGATCTGTAATTGTATGCTTTCTGCAGATGAAATGTGAACCATGAGCTACTCGTAGTTGTAAAACATCCTTTTTTGAGTGTACAGCTTGTGGATGCAAACTTAATGTTCAGACCCTTCTGCATGGATTGCAGAAGTTTCTGAAGAACTTAAAAATTGCTTTAACACGGAATGTTTCACTCCATCTCCTCTTACCCATATAAAACCTCTTCTCAACAGTCTGAGAAATACCTTGCACGAGGTGGGCAACCAGTAGGCTTTCTGCAGGAGGTTTCTACTGAGATGTGACAGAGGGCAGCTTGGCAAATGTTCAGAAACCGACATTAACTTGCTGGAGCCCGGCATGGGACCTTGTGTTCAGCAGAATTCTCCTGACCTGTCTCCCTGCATGCCGAGCTAATCAGCAAACACCTAATGAGCCTACTCTAAAGAAACAGACCCTCTCACAACCTACTTCATTTTCATATGTTCTCTGGGGGTGGAGAGACAAGACTTCATAAGGACTGATGATGCTGCAAAGACCACAATAATGATAATTAACTTGCTGAATTTAGAAGATTATGCTGTTAATTAGTTGCAAAATAAAGATAAGTAATAGAGCAGCAGATGGTAGGATAACACCCAGGAGAAAGGAGGGTTATTACTCTGATGAGCTTTTGTGGCAGATATGAAATATGGATCTGAGTTTTTCACAAATTGTTTCTGGAGAATATTATCTTGTTTCTGTGAGCTCTTGGTGGAATGATCTAGTCCTACCAAATTTTGACAGATGTGGTGAGGATTTGCTTTCAAGGATATACATGAACAATAAAACCTTGCTAATAAAGACTGTAAAAGCTATTAAGCTATTTGAAAATACCACTTTTAGTTTGCCTCTGATAACCAAATAGTATCAAATGTTGGTTGTCATCAGGTTTCCCCACATAATAGTGCTTTTATACATTTATTCTAATACTTGTTTCAATATACTTGATTTTTAAAACTGAGTTTCATATCATATTTGCGGTAACTATCTCAGTACTCATAGGAAGCACAACATCCATATAGTATTTCACTCCAGCATTGCCATCTAAAATATGAAACCTTTTACATACATGAGCTGGATATCCCTTGTGAAAATCTATAGACGTTCCTCAGATTCTCACAATATTTCTGCATTTGTGGATAATTTTAATCATAATTATTTGAATTTCAACTTTTAAACTCTGTAATATAAAACTAAGCCAAATTATTTTCTATTTCTATAGTATATTGCATTTAACAATGTAATTTTCAAAAGGAGATTGTTTACTTATAAAATTTCTTCTTTTGACTGTTCACACGTCCATTGTGCCTAATAGATCTTTTATAACGTAGATGGGATTGTGCCATTTCCTTCACTTTCTACTGCCATTTTCAAATTAAATGTAACATATACAAATTTAATAGCATGAACTTCCTTTCTTTTTAGGTTAACTTTGCAAATATTTCTTTAACACAGAAATGCAGAAGTAGAAAGAATGGAGCTAGACATAACAACAGCTTCCTACCTTATGTTCACATTAAAAAACCAAAACAAACCCTAATTAGTTTTGTTTCATCTCCCAAATCTTCTGAACTTGGTCTCCCTTTCCCTAAGGAAATGGATATGCTAGTGAAACTTCTTGTTTAAGTAGCTGACTTCAATCAAACAGTACAAAGCATTTGTAGGAGCTCGTAGACTCCGTTGTTTTCAGGTATTTTTGTGGAGGATGCTTACATTCAGATTTGCCTGTGCAGTCAGGAGCAGAGTAGGTCAGACACACTGACCATACACATGCTAAATGTATAAATGTTTATGCTCCACCGCCATGAAAAGTTGAAGTTAGCCTGTTATCACTGAATTTACATATTCAGACACTTGAGTTGGGTGAAATCTAATCATTTTTAGTTCTTACAGCAGTGGAAGAGGAGCTGCTGTATCTTGGTTGAGTAATTTTTGAGACTGTAACTTTTAAAAACCTCCTAGTACAATGGCTTGAAACGAGAGCATACCCTTTAAAACCTCAGCAGAAGTTAAAATAGACACATTGGAACCAATTTGGTACAAATAATTTGTCCTGTCACTACTGTTTGCTTTTGACTCCTGAAAGTTTGTCACATCCTGCTAAAAAGCAAGTTATGATACAAGAAATACTTCTAAAGTAATTCAGATAATAAATGAAAATACATTATGAAAAATCAGGTGTTAATAACTTATGGAGAGGATTGTCATATTAACATTAAATACTTTTCTTTAAAAAATATTTTATTAAAAAACTATTTGGAAGTTATGTGTCTCTCTGGTAGTCCTCGTGGTAGCTTAGAAAATTTAATGACCTAGATTAGAATTCAAAGCGGGGGGGGGGAGGTGGAAAACCTCAACCTTTCAATTGTTGTACTTAGATCATAGAGTTTGGTTCTAGTCATTTTAGTTAGACAATTAGAATACATGTAGGTCTTTCTGCACTTGTTTAGCTGGAGACAGGGATTTAAATCTTTTGGTTAGCTTGTTTTTCCAAGGTGAATTAGGAAAGTACAAGTTGATTCTTGAGTTTGTTTTCATGCTATAAAGAAGGAGTTAAAACAGCTACTGAAGGGCTTAGGGTTTTCAGAGTACCATACATATACTAAGAATTATAGGCATGTTATCTTAAAAAATTTTGTCATCCTGCCCTAATGCCTGCAGCTATCCCAAATTCTTGTTGTTAGAGCTGAGCACTGGGTAAATTACTGTAAATTCATCTCGTGTACTTTTCTGAAAGCAACTTTTTCATTCTAGGAAGCTTACAAAGTCGATAGAAAAATGAGGTGAGGAACAGAACTTTGTTAACACCAAATTTTTATGTACACTTTAACAGTCCCCGTTTGGGGTAATGTGTGCTGTTACGTTCAATCTAGAGGAGATTTACTACAGAAGTCCCTGGCTTAAATACTCCATACGAGCAAGCCAGCAGAGGAATGTTGGAGTGTCTCTGTTCTCTTTGTAGTCCTCAGATGGGATATCTACTGGTGGTAGTTAAATGCTACAACCAACTATATGGATTTGCTAGTTGATGTAACTTGCCATATTGTAGACCTGAAGACTTTTTGCAGTTCTGACAGAGGTAATCCGCAATTTGTTGTTCTAATTGTAAAATAGGATCAAGGAAAGCCTGCCATCGTGCAAGGTAGGAGAGAACTGTCCCTATGTTCCAATGACTTAATTATTGAGACGCATTGGATACTACAGTTTACAGAGAATATCTGTGTACATAGGTGCAAAGTCTTCTGCTTAATTTGAGCTGGCTGAAAGCAGCCTCATTCTAGCATTTTTAAGACATTCTATTAGTATTAGTACTTTGGCAATACTTTGTTTATATTCCAAAACACGATGATACAAGCTATCAAGAGTATTCATAAACTGTTATGTATTAAGTCATTAATCTTTTCTTAAACTTGTATTAGATTCTTTAAAAAATCCAGTGCTCAATGGAAAAACATTCTTTAATACCATTTGCCTGGTGAGGTAAATCCTTAAGTAACACAGAAAATTTTATGATAAATTACACAATATTAATGAAATTTTAAGGAAGAATCTGGAATTACAAGCAGTTGTATCTACCTTTTGTCACTTAAGAATTTGTTGTAAATAGAATATAGAATATATCACCTGTTACCGTTTTGATAGATTCCGCCAAAAGTTGAGTGAAATAATTTTCAAAAAGTAGTCAATAAAATGCTTTAAAATACTCTATCAAGTTGTCAGTAACTCTTGAATGTGTTACATACAGCTGAAATTTGGAGTTACTGTTCTTTGTAGTGGCTGTCTGCAATAAAGGAAGAACTTCAGACATTTTAGCAATTTTTTAATGTAAAATAGCATGCCGTAAGTTACCTTGCATATTTCTATATAAATAAAAGCTAGTATTTACATACAACCTGAAGTTTGTTGTTGTTTTGTGCATTACTGAGATGTTTCAGCAAAGACCTTGGCTTTTATATAATAATTACTCATAGGAAGGATTGTAGAGGTGAGTATTTGTAAAGACCATGAAAAAGCAGAGTTGTAACAAACTATTTAAAAATGGATAGAAAACACCAGAATTTTTAAAATGGAAAGAAGTTTGTGTTCTGTTTTCTACCTGTTTTCCCTCATGTGCGATTGCTTTCTTTCTGATCCGTACCTTGTGTAATACCAGCCTCAGCAACTTTTTGTTCATGGCCTTCCAGTCATCTCTATGTGGGCACAGTTCATCACGAAGGAGGCTTTCTGGTTACTTCTCCATACAGCTTACCATCCTTCTCTTTCTGAGATCTTATGTAAAGCCTCATTGCTGTTGTCATGCTTGCAAGAAATTGTCACCTGTTAGTAGGTATATGCCTAAATAACTGTTGAAAGCCTATAAAAAGAAATAGATATTTTAGAGCTGGAGCTCCTGTTTCCAAAATGGAAGTAACTACTAATAGAAATCATTAATAACTCCTCAAGTTAGCATGGTTGAATATTTCCTTTTTTTTTCTTTTTTTTTCTGCTTGCAGAGATTGAAAGCAGCCTTGACCCAGCAGCACCCTCAGGTAACAAATGGAGATACTGCCAAGGGACATACAAGTGGGTTGGTTAGAACTCAGTCAGAGGAACCACGACCACAATCACTACAACAGCCTGCAACTTCAACAACTGAAACACCGGTATGACAACACAGTGGACATGTACTTCCTAGTCCCTTCATTGTTATGCAAAAAAAAAAAAAAAAAATCTTTTTTATTTACTCTTGATTTGTAAAATAGAGGTTAACATGAGCTACAGACTCCTCTTGGAGTAAATAGTTCTCTAGCAGTAAAATGTTTATAGTTCTTACGTGTTCTTAAATGCTTCTAAAATGTATTATCCAAGATGATAATGTCAAAATTGGTATTATCTACCTCGTCAAATTTAGAACTAAGTCCTCCTGATTAGTGGAGTGTGTTAACAGGAAATTCTGTAGTAACTGAAAATTGTACAACTAGTTAATATATATTAAAAAAAAGTGCTTTTATTTTTTATTTATATTCCATGTTTAATATTTTAGATCATAAACACTTAAGAATTTTTTTAACTGCAGCAGGTATCATGCTTCTGTTAATTTGCTTGAAGGGTCTCTGCTGGGCTGCCATAAGAAGAGTCTCAGCTGTGCGATTAAGTATACTGTGTGATCCAGGGTGCTGAAAGGGGGGCTCTGAGTTTAGGAATGGTGTGCTGTCCCTTTGGGATCATAGATGAGAACAGGGGAATAAAGAACAAGAACTCTTGAGTCAAACTGGAAGTGGGAGTGCTCCTGGAGGAAGGAGATATTTCTGTGGGTGCATCCTGGAGGATTGCTGCTGTTCTACTTCAAAAAAAAGTGTTGAATGTGTTTTTGAAATGCTTTAAAAATCTCTACGAGTATTTTCATAGCATAATACCAATTTTATAAAAGCTACACGCTTGGCCCAGAACTGAAAGGACCTGCATCTGTAGTGAAAGCCCTTAGATTCTTAGACTGGCCAGTGAAATCAAATAATGTATCAAGACAAATATGTTTGGAGCAAAAAGAGGAAGAAAGTTACCCATTGTAAAATGATCTTCTTCTTAAGGCTGCTGTTCTCCCATATTACCTTAAGTTTTTTAAAGGAATATTTTCATAATACCACATAGCAGAATTTTCAAGATGAAAAGCTTGCTGTTTGCTTATTTTGTGGTTACTTTATAATTAGGATTTTAAAAAAAATTGCAAATGTTTCATTCCTGATTTGAGTTCCTAGGTTTTTTATTACTAGCTATCCAGAATTTATACCAAATCAATATGCCAACTGATACATGTTTGCAGTTCTTAATTTAAAAATAAAACTTTCTTACCGTGCTAGACTGAATGCGCAGGTGCACCAGTGAATGTGTCATAGAGACAGTTATATTCTCTCTATCCTGTCACTTGAAAGGATTTTAAGATCATTGTATTGTTATTATAATTCATTAGATCTTTGCCTAGGGTCTGTATACAGCTATGAAAGGAGTATAATGTATAATTTAAAATACTGAAATATTTTGATTCTGTCATAATATGTGGGTGAATGTAAGGGGAATCAGTATGCAGTGGTGGGGAATGCATCAACACATAGGGAATTGCTCTCTGCACACCCAGGGATCAGAAGCTATCAGCACTGACAGCATTTGCCAGACAGCTTCATTACATTGGGCATAAAAAAATTGTGCAGTATTTTAGTTGTGACTAGGTTTGTAGGAAGGGTCAAGAGTAGAAAATTTATTTCCTGCTAAATGTAACTTTTAAAAACTATTTTGGGTGAAAGAGGTTTTTAAACTTTACCTTTTGTAAATACTTGCGTCATTTGAATCGGTAAAAGAATGTCTCAGAGTCCATCTAAAGAATATTGCTTCTGGGCTTTATTCAGTTGCCAAATGTAAACGTCGTATAACTTTAACTCTTTGAAGTCAGTGGCTTCTTTTAGTGCAGTTTTAAACCAAAGCTAGAGCCATGATTAAAATGTTAATGTAACATGTAAGGAGTGTAAATACAGTAAAATATTTTAAAACATAGCAGTAGAGTTAAATGACATAGCTTTCCACAAAAGAAATGTGTGTAACTTGAATGTATTTAAAAATGTTGTGAATGCTTTTCTCAAGATGTGACGTGTACTTACGCTAGTGCCGTAGCTTAATTCACTAATAGTATTACACTGATGACTTCAATACTTTTTACTGTTTTCAGGCATCACCAGCTCAGCCTACGCCACAAACACCAAATACCGGTGGTCGTCGAAGAAGAGCTGCCAATGAAGACCCTGATGAGAAAAGAAGAAAATTCCTGGAGCGAAACCGGGCTGCTGCTTCCAGATGCCGACAGAAACGGAAAGTCTGGGTGCAGTCATTGGAGAAAAAAGCCGAGGACCTGAGCTCGCTCAATGGCCAGTTACAGGTATACTTCCTATTTCAAGTAAAAATGTGTAAAGTTTTTTGATTCTTAGACAGTGATCCTGGATCAATGGAACTTAAACTTTGCATGAAATCTGAAATAGAAATGGTTTTGTAACTGGTGGTTCAGGTCAGAATTGAAAATTCAGCGTTAATTGCATAGACCAGTAAAATAAGAATATAAGAGCATACTCAGATTTCAAGATGTGTAAACGTTGGGATCATGCCCTTTTGTCCCTTGTCCATTTTAAATAACTTTCAGACTGTGATACTAAACAAGGATGACAAGATGTGTTTGGAGTAAAGGCTTATTAGCAAAGTAATAGCCTTACCTTGAAAACATCTTGCTCTTAGTAATTTGTATCACAGCCTGAGTTATTTAAACAAGATTTGGTTTGGTTTCCTTTGGTTCTTTTTAACTTCACTTTTTTTCCTTTAAAGTGAATGTAGTGCTCGTGGAAAGGTGCCAGATTGACATCACTGGAAACTGAAGGTCTCTTTTGTCCACAGAACAGGTACAGCACAGGCAGTGGCAGTGCAAATTTCACCACACTGCCCTCCCAGTGTGCGTAAATCCTATAGTGAGGGAAGTATACTTAAGAGGGTAGTTCAGTGTATGTTGCCAGTCATTTTTTCCATGTCGTCTGAGGTTGTCAGTTGTCGGAAAATTGTCATGTGGGCACACTTTTCCCCCTGTAGAACAATCTATGACTCTTTTATTTAAACTACTATTAAATGTTAAAGCTTACTTTCTTAATGTTTTCCAGCAGCACGTGAGAATTGGCACAAAGTATTGTTTCAAAATAAAAAGTCTAAAAGCTTTATTTTGAGAATTACAGAAAGGAAAAATGATGTCATTTTCTAAATGAAGCATTCATTTAGAAAATGCAATGTAAAATATTTTGACATTTTACAGTTCTTTTTCTTTCATCAGAGCTTTTCACTGAGTCAAATTCACAGATCTTTTTCTTCCTATTAAAACTCCTCTTTTGTGCTGTTTGCTAAAGAAAATGTCCCAGCTTGACCACCAGGAAAGTAGGGCATGTTGAGATTACTTTTTATCGTGTAATCGAAATTACAGTGTATCGGTCGTCTTCATGTTCATGTCTTTAAAGATAGTCAGCATCCCAGAATGTAAAATGTAAGAAATTCCTACGTAAGCACACAACGTGAAAACATTTCCTGTGTTCCAAGAATTACGACGCTGTGCACCAGCGTTAGTTAAATTTCTTCTTGCAAATACACAGTCTTCTCATAACTGTTCACAGTCTTCAGACATGTTCCTTCAATGCAGTCACAGTCCTTGCTGTAAATCTATTAATTACAAAATGGTTTGTAGCACTATAGCTTAAGTAATCTAAGAAGGAAGTGGAGGTAGACCTACAGGAAGGAAAACAAAGAACAAAAAAGATTGGCTACATTTCAGTTTTCTTAGTGAAAATAATTTTTGGTATTATGTGATCTAGCTTTAACTTACACATACGAATTTTTATAACTGAAAACTAGGTAAGTACTGTAACCAAAAGATTTCCAGATTTCCAAGAGTTAACTCAGTAATAGTGAATTCAAGAAAAAGAATTTTCTTACGGTCTGCCAAAAGCACAATCGTTAACTGTGAAGAACAGAATGACTTGTAAAGAAAATTGAATGTCAGAGAAACAATTAAACTGTACTTTATGTGAAAACATTAATCAGTCCTATCTTTCCATAATAATTCTTCACTTGACAGGCTAACACAGCTGATCAGCATAGTAGGCAGTAATGACCCATGATTACTTACTTTATATTTAATAGTAAATTTAATAAGTTTGGAGTTTTGCCTTAATACAGTTTTATAGACTGAATGTTAGGGTTTAGTAGTTCCTATTTTGTTTAATAGCTAAATGACCTGCTCAGCTGAATTTACCAAGATGTCACATTTCCAAAAGTAGGTTAATACCAAGATGACTACATTGCATTGCTTCAGGTAACAATTCTGACTTCTTTCAGTGCAGTTAGTAGCTTTTTTGCCATGCCTATGTCAAAGTTTCTACTGTCAATGTCGAGGTTTTTAAGACTGGAACTCTCTAACAGTACATACAGATTGTGAAGAGGTTTACTGGGTTGATGTATATTTTGTTCTGTAGTTTTCAGCTTTCTGTAGATTAACTTCTGCCTACTTTCTTCTTTTAAATGTTTGAATTTAATTTCCTTTTAAAGCATTATTTTTCAAATTTTTGCTTCAGGGAGAATTTCCAACTTTTACATCACACCAGTAACAGGTTAGGTTGGCTGTCTTTATTATAGGCTCTGCTTTGTAAGGTTTTTTCATGCTTCTAACCTTGTAAAGTTTATTTACTGTTTGATTTTTGTGGACTGCATTTTCTACTAATATGTTGACTTGTTTATTGATCTTTAATTTTATATATCACATTGTGTTGCTCTGTGCTTTGCCACGATACTGCAGGGTATGGTATGCTATATAACGTGTTAAGGAAGCATTGACAATGTGTCCCCAGTGGCCACTCAATCGTATTGCAGGATCAGATGCCAAAGTTCATTATATGGCCTGTTTGGTCCCTGTTGCTTAGAGGGCAAAGTATTAGTAGAAGAATGGCCTGCCTTACTCACGAGGTCACTGTAGGTTTTAAAGGATCAGCAGTCAGTGGCAGTTTGTACTAATGCTGCAGAAGCTGCTTTAGGAAGGCTAAATTATGAAAGAAATGCCCGTAAGTAAAGGTCCTTATCCATACAGGGCTGTCTTGTTGAAGTTATCCAAAAAGAAGCAGGAAGGCCGGTGTTTAACTCAGCCACAGAGAGTCCCCTATCCCCATAAGTCACATCTACCTGTCTGATGATAGTTTTGGTAAATAGGACTTCACAAATATTGTCGTGCACTTTGCTGAGTAAGGATGAATCTAGTCCCCCTATTACATAGCATTTTGAATCCAGGGGGAAATAGACTGATACAGAAGAACATGCTGTACACTGCATGGTATACATGCGTATATATGAATAGAGAAGGCAATGTATCTTTGGAAAAAATGGAGTGCAGATAAAAATAGATATGCTTTCCTCCAGAAACCTGCTTTCTAATGTTAGCACATTTTGAAACGTGGGAACCTAAAAATTCTTCTAGACAGCATGCGAGCTATATTTCATACTTATTTAAAGAAATGTTGATGCCTACACTTGACTTGAGATCTCATTAATGAGGAGGACCTTTCCAATGTAAAAACTCGAAATAATCTTTCTTTGTGCCAGTGGTTGACGTGTTTATTCCATATGCTTCTTGTTAGCCTGTTTTCCTTAAAGACCACCACGTGTTAACATATTTCAAATGAGATGGAAAGACTTGCTGTTGTTACATACATGATAAGAAAACTACAATGTGTGTAGGAGCCAACCCCCCTTTGTTACCAGTCAGACGTGGTTCTTACTGGTGATATGTAAACGACAACCTTGGATTGCCTTTCTGTGACATTCCATGTACCGTGTGTCTAGCAGACGTACTCTATTCTGCTTCCAGGAATGATTTGTGCATTGCATATAGCACTGTTGGCAAACAGCACTCATGTTATTAACAATGCTAACTATGTATTCAGTGAGAATGTCTCAGCTTCTTCAGTATAGGGATGCTGTTCCATTTTGGTCAAATCTGCTTTAATATAAGATAATATATTTGCTTTTTCTGTTTCTGTTAGCAAAATTCTTAGTATTTGTAATACAACTATCTATAAACGGCCTTTTCAAAAATTTGTCATGAACATTCATTTTACTTACACTGATGAACAGTGACTTGATGCTTATATGTGCTGTTTGTGTATAAAATTCTTCCTTAAAATGTGGGAGATGAAGGTAGAGAATGTCTGAAATCGTTTTCACAAGTTGATCACTTATTTTGCCAACGTTCCTTTAAACTAGCAGAAGTATGTTTCATATTCTTGGACATTGCTGCTTCTGTAGGTTATGAAGAAGTGTCTCAAAACTACATCAGCACTTTCTTTTTTTTCCCCCCAGCTATGTCAGTTCTGTGCAGCTGCCTGCTTGGCATCCAGATTTGTGGCTTCTCAGTAAATAATGTGGTGAACTGAGAGGGGACTGAGAGCTGGAGGCAGAAGTAGTGTGATTTCTTAACAGCCCAAGAGTTCAGGACATGTAATGCCAGCTGGTAGAGATTTTGTGGGGGGTTTGGTTGGGTTTTTTTCATTACAACTTCTTTTTGTTTGCAATCACATTTTTCTTTCATTAGAAACGTCCATGAAGTCAGATTTTGGCTTTGTTTCAGATCTTATTTTTGTTTTAAATATCAAGTTTCTAAAAGGGATATTTGGCACATTAAAATGACTGAATAGAAAAGTAGTCCTTTAATACTTTAAGAGGATTTTGCAAGTATAAAGGCTTGAAATTTTTTGTCTCTTAAATGGAGAGAGAGAGAGAGAACACAGGGGAGCTTTTCTTTTAAAAATCTGGTATTTTAGTTACAGTATTTATAAACTGTGTTGATTAGTGTAATTAAACCTAATAAATTCCATTCTTAAAAATTGTTTTCCTTGTTTTGGAATCCTTTTATTTATAATTCATCTCTTCTCTGACAGCATTGCCTTATTTCTAGCTTGCAAGTAACTAGATTGACTTTCTTGTGGGGTTTTTTTTCCACATAATTTTATTTGCAGTCCAATTTTCCTGTGTTTGTTTTTCCTTTAACTTGCTCTCAAATGCATAAACATACACATTTACCAAACAATTACGTCATGTGTGTGGTATATTATGCTAATGTGCCAAGATTCTTATAGTTTAAGTACCTTCAAGTATCAATGGAAAGGATTTATATTTAAAAGAAATTAACCCATGAAAAGCAGATATCTTGGCAAGATACGGGTATCACAAAGCATTACGGATAACTTGATTCTGTAGTGACTCATTTTTCTACTATTTTAAGTGAAGTGGATCTATCAAAATGCCATACCGTTCTTAATTTGGATTGTCACATACACTGTGTGTACATAGTGCTTCTCATCTGTAGATATCAAACTGCTTTACAGGGAAGGTAAGTATCCCTGTCCTCCGTTTTACAAATGGGGAAATTGAAGCACAAAGAAGTAAAATGACCTTGCTCAAGGTCACCCAATAGTGGAAAGGCCTGGAAATGAACCCAGGCACTAGATTCTGCAAATGCTGTCTCCTAGATTACACTCTGCTTTAGTGACAAAAGCTGACGTTTCAGGATTTTGTCATTATTATGAGTTATTCCTTCATACAACACGTTTATGTGTGGTTGCCAGAGAGAAAATTAGTATGGATATGAACAGACATTTACTAAATTATTTTCCATTACATGAGGTTTTCTTTTTCAAAGTCCAAGTACAAATATAGTCACCAAAAATCATTCTGCATTGGCTGATTTTTTTTAATGTTTGGTGTGGCATTTGTTAAAATACAGGTAGTTAAATGTAGGTTTAATTTGATTAGAATTCATCACAAAACCTTGCAGAAGAGTCTTAAAGTAGCTGGATCATGTGAATGAGCACTGGATCATGTGAATGAGCCTATATGTAGACTCTGCATCTGTGAACTGAAAAACATATGTTGTATTTTCCAAAAAAGCATTTCCTATTTTAAGAAAATCATAAAACAAAGTTAGCCAAGTTTTAGCTAATATTTAATTATTCTGAGATAAAAGAAATGTACATGTTTTTGCAATATATGCCAAATGGAAACTTCTTGTATTTTATCTACCCCTAAACGAACAACTGAAAATCCTATAAAACTTAATACTTACCTTCAAAATGTGTGTAGTTTGAACCTGGTAAAGTACATAACTTTCTTCTCCTTTAGAATGAAGTCACCCTGCTGAGAAATGAAGTGGCACAGCTGAAACAGCTTCTTCTGGCTCATAAAGATTGCCCTGTAACCGCCATGCAGAAGAAATCTGGCTATCATAGTGAGTAATGTTCCATTACCTATAGCCTTAGGCTGCATCAATGAAATACTGCCAAAGTGAACTGAATGAACATTAAAATTGAGAAGTGCGGTTCTAAAATTACATTAAAGATTTTAAAAGAAAAAATCTCAAAGGTTATTGGAAGATGGGAATGAATATGTGATATTTAGAAATACATTTTTAAGTCCGTTCAGTTGAAGTGTTGCATAACATTGAAGGTTTTATGTTGGTTAAATAAATGCATATGATAATTAGCATGTAAGGGCTATCAGTTATTACACCTGCTTTAGAAAATATAATTAAAGTATTAAGAGCACATGATAAACCATTTTTTATACTTTATCTTAGCCTAGTACAGTGAAAGGTCCTTGTGGGTTTTTTTTTCTCTACATCGTAATGAGATTTCAGTAGAGGTAATATAACAGCTGTCCTCATTTACCATAACATCCAGGATCAGTCAAGCCGTTAAAATAATCAGATGCAGGTTCATGGCTCCTACTGTACAGTGTCTTCTAGATTGTTTTGATTTCCACATTAAGCAACTACTTTTCTATAAACAGGGTATTTTAAAAAGCAGTTCTAATGCTGAAGGGAATACTGAGAGTTTCTGTAGCATTTTTTTCCTAATACATATTTTTACTTAAAGGTGCTCATTTGATTTTCATCCTTCCAGCATTTTAAAGGTTAATTATGCTTTCCTGACTTGTTACTTCATTTTTGGATATGATACACAGTGCCAGAACCAGCTGCTGCTGCTGTAGAATAAATGGCCAATTTTGTCCATTGTACACAAATTTGTTACAAATAACTGAGCTGGGAATGCATTAGGCAACATTCATAATATATAACCCACAGCTTTCGTTTTTATGATTTAGTGATATTTCAGGATATTTGTAAATGTGAAGATTGTTTCTGCCATATGTAGCCACTTCATTTTAATTTGCCAGTGTCAGTAATTCAGGAAAATAAAGGAACATTTTGTATTGCATGCAAACAGATCCTCAGGTGCTTGCGATAAAACTTAATGGCCACCATCTTTACTTGTAGTCATTGTAAGCAATTTCATCAGAATGGGCAATATTTTTTAATTTAAAAGATTCAGGAGATTTAGCAACTCTCTATTGCCATATATATTTAGAATACTGATTTTTGTCAGTTTTGAGCTTATAAATCTTGGTCCTTTGATCTCCAGTCATTTTGACAAGATGGAAAATAGCATCTTGGAGTAAATTGGAACAGTATAGAAATATGTTTGGGATTTATATTAACAATGATTGCTGCAGGGATGAGGCCATTATGGCTCCCATCTGACAGAACAACATAATTTCATATGGAAGCTGCTAGGGGATAACATTATGCATGCAGGGTTTTAAAAAAAAAAAAAAAAAAAAAAAAACCAAAAAAAAACCCTGTAGGTTTCTTGAATTTTGATGTTTTGAGGATGTGTGTTCCTGAATTGGCATGAAAAATATTTAAACATAAGTCTTAAACTGGTAAAGCAATTAGACTCTAAGGATTTCTTCGTTGAAGAATTAACAAACAGCTTGTTTAGTGATGCTTATTTTCTGCCCTCAGAAAAGGACTATACTGTTCCTAATTTACTAAAGAATACAAAATGGGTAAGAACTAACATACTACTCTGTGAAAAACGTCTATATTTTAGAAAAAAATGAAACAATAGTAAGCAAGGAGATTGGAAGCATAGCTCATCTACTTTCTTGAAAAGTCTCTTGAAAGCCAAAGTTCAACACGAATGGTAGTTGTAATGCCATCCCTCTGAAAGGATTTTGTCACTTTATCTCTCTGTGAATATTGGTGGGAGAGCATGTTGGCTAAGTTACTTAGCCACAGTACAATTTATGAGAGGAAAAAATGGTTTCAGTTAATATGTTCATGAAAATGGTGTTCATAGAAAGTATTTTTAAATAAACATATTATGTTCATCAAGTAATCCAAGTTAAATTGCTTCAAAAATGTAATGAGTGGTTTAACGGTCTGTCTCTGTGGAAGAAATCGAAGACACCAGATTACAGATCTCCTGCAGTGCTGAATATTGCGCACTGCTGAGACAGTGCTATTTTATATCATGCAGACCATGTTTTAACAGCTAAGCCCACTATTTAATGGGGTTTCATGTATGATGCACTTAAATAGGCACAAATAATCTTTGCTTTTCGGGGTATTTTTGGCACTTACTTTTACACATTATTTAACATCTTTTGGATTTCCCAGGCACGTTTTGTCTCAGGCCAGGTGAAAAGCATGACAGTGCAGATACCCCTTTCTTCTTCTATGCTTGTTCTTGAGATCATATTTTCCTTATTTAAAAAGTCTTGTGCCTGCTTCAAAAGAGAGTGTTATCAGAACAGAGAAATCAGAAAGGTGGTTATTGCACTTTGAGGCAGTATGGATAAATTTCAGTTGCAATGTTTGAGTTTTCAGCTAGTTCAAACTTTTTTTATTTCCCATAGGAAGATGCTATTGGTTCTGAATGCAGTTTTAAACATTAGGGGGGAAAAAAGTGCCATGTATAAGAGAAATCTAAATGCTGTTAATTTATTTTTCATTTTAGCTCTTCTGTAACAAATTATTTGTAAGTCTTCTCCAATACTCTTACATTTTCTCAAGTTTTTTCTGGACTTGGAGCAGGAAAAGGTGAAAACTTCTGAGAAGAAAATGTGTTGTGATAATTAGGGTGTTAAAAAAAAAGAAAAGGTTGTTTTAGATTTTTTTCATATTTTTCAAGAGGACCTCACGATGTTCTAGAACATTTGTACAAAACTGAATATAAGGGAAAATAAATAGAGGCTGCAATGTAGGTGGTATTAAATGAGGGGGTTTGTGTTCTTTCTCTCGTTAGTTTTAAAGAAGTGGTAGAAGGTGACTAACCAATTTCAGACCTTGAGTAGTTTGAACCACTCAAACCACTATGTTCCTACAGCCTGTTCTGGACAGACGACAGTCCTTCAGTGACTGCAGGGGATGGGATAGTCCCCAGCTCATGGGAAATGACCATTTCTAGGCTTGAGTCCCTCAATAGTCCATGGATGGCCTTGAGAATTACCGTGAGGCTTGCTTTCTAGTGATTATCAGGGGACTGAAAGGAGTTCTGGATCACTTGTCAGTGCTTGCGTACTTGCTCCCATTTTGGTTTTGGTGGGTTTTTTGTTTTTGAAGACTGAAATCCCTCTTTGGTTGCTTACCTTACTGAAAGCTATTGGTAAGCAATGCAAATAATAGAAATGTCTGATGACTCCAAAAGGCTACTTCTTAGTGCATCCTCAAAAGTCTCCTCTGTGCTCTGCTTGGTATTTTTAAAATCTTTTCTATAGCTCAGTCTAGCCCTCGTTGTGTTCCATTACCAAAATGGCTCGCTTCTCATGGCGCAGCCTGTCTAGGAACTATGTAGCTTTTAGGAAAGTTCATGTGATGTAGGTCTGTAAATTTTCAGCCTTCTAATGTACAGCACACGCTTCTTCTGTAGATCCGTTTCTAATTCGGACTGTGCATTTTCCTTGGTTTGAGGCAAAGCTGGGGGAGCCATTAAAAAGCTAACATGCCTGGGCTTTTTTCTACATTGTTAGCTACATTATGATTCTGGTATGTATCAGTTGCACTCTTGAAACCATAATCCTGTGCCTGGCAATTCTCTGGTCAACTAAGAAAAAAGAAAAAAATCTGCTGGAATTTAAATATGGCTTTCCCGTGTCCTCCTAAAAGGTTTTGTTCTTTATTCCCAATCTTCAGGCTTAAGAAAATAAGTCACTTTTGTAATGAGGTGACTTTAAGCATCTTCTATATTCATTGAGTAGATTTTTCTTATTTGATTCAAATTCTTCAAATGGAGTTCTGTATTCAGTTTTTGGCCACTATTCCTGTAAAGTTAGGGCTTCGTAAGGAAGGATTTGAAAGGAAATCTAAATTGCTGTTCTTTAGGGTGGCACCTCATTTCTAAATGTTCCTTAGTAGTTATTGCAAGGATTTACACTTCCGGTCAAATTCATTACCATAAACTGGTGTTAGGTCTATATCTTATAGAATCGCCTGTCTGCTGTAAGCTCCCTCCTAGAGGGATGCCCCTGGCATCTGAAAATACCTGTATCGTGCTTTTTGTCTCTTCAGCACAGTTTGTCCATCTGAACAATGATACGAAAACGTCAATTGTGCATTGGTGATGATAAGTATTCCCATAACTGTTTTTTCTATTGCATATATGGTCTTCCTGAGCCCATCAAAATCAGAAAATCAAGCCTTTCTCATGTTCTTTACCACTGTGATATTATTATAGACATTCCTTTGAGTTAACAACATATATGTTAAGGGATACAGAACAATGAAGACCTTCCTTCCTTCTCTGGCAAGGCAATGATCTACTTTACTTCCTCCCTGGCTTGTAGCATTTAACACTAACCCTTTGTCTTGAGGATAAGGAGGATTTGGCCAACAAGGAATTTGGGTATCAGGAAAAGAAGCATAATAGGAAGATGGAGATTCATAGGAGAACAACACAGCTCTGAAGAGGAGGAGCAGGTGTTACAGCAAGGAGACTGTATTCGATACATGTCGTCCCACTTGCTGCCATTTCATTCTGTCCGAGGGGAAGAATATGCTACTCTTATAATTAGTAATTCAGTATTTTTCAGGAAGTGGCACTAGAGTTACTGTTTTTAACAAAGTTTGCATGCGGTCCTCTTACTTGGTTTTACGTGAGATCTTGTAAGTCTTGATAGAGGTGTAGCAGAGGTGTAGCAAAGATGAAATCCTGTCGAATAGTGTTAACTGAATTGGCACTCATTCATGTTCTTTCTCTTCTTGAAAGGTAAATCCTACTAAGGATCACAAACATGTTTCAGAAGTATTTTAGTTTTCTTCCTCTTGCTGTATACAGTTACCATGTAATCATCAGATATGCGGTAATTGTCAGCAGATGTAGCTCAATGTGTCTGTCCCTATCTCCTTTAACGCCTGAAAGATCTGTTTTTGAAAAAAATGCGCTATTTGTAAAATAGTTGGCCTCATGGATAAGAACACTGTGATACTTTTTAATAATTATGTCTGTGTTCTTGTGGTAGAGGTATAGGAGAAATTGCTAGCTTGTTCATGCAGGCAGTATTTCTTGGAAAGAAACACAGCGGGTTTGCTTGCTTACCCATCTTTTTTGACTTTACCATTCTTTTCTAGAAGCAGTCAATAATAGAACTGTTGTTTTCAGACTTGGAAGAGGAGTGTGTTCTTAGCATGCATGGGGTTGCTCAAAGATCTTTGTTGGGGACTTGCAAATTTAGTGCAGTGCATTTTTTTTACTCATAGCTAGTGTGTCATAAACCTCAGTGCATCATAAACTTCATTTCATCATTGTTTGTTCATGCTTAGTGTTCCCTTTAGTTGTTGCTGTTAGCCTGATTTTCTATGAAAATGAGGCTATGATAACCACAGGGCTGTTCATCTTTCAGTGTGAGGGTCATTCTTTCCCATCCCTTCCCTTCCTCTTGGTAACTTTTGAATTTGTAGGCCAATCTCAAACAAACCTGAAAGGGACTGCAAAAGATAAGTCTAGAGAAAATCAAGGTTTGTTCCATTGCTGTGTCGCAAGCAATAGTTCATGCTGCTTCTGGCTATGTTTGTGTGTCTCTTTCTATGTTGTTATGTTATACTGTAGTCAGTATCCCTGTTAAACAAGGGGCTTCCAGTATTCCATCTGTATACTACTGGGTTTCAGTCAGCTTATAAAACTATTGTGAAAAATACTTTAAAACACAAAGTAGCACAAAGTGATACAAATAAGTTATAATTAAATTTGTTGTCTGTACTTTCAACTTTCAGTGCAAAACAGTAGGCGTATTTTCTTTCTTGGTTTTTTAGTCTTTAACTCAGCTTTTTGCTTGACAGTGCATAATGCCTTGGCTAACTTTTGCAACTCTGGAAAAAAAGGACTATTTTAGCATGACTAGGATGTCTGTGCAAGAAAGACATTTTAAATCATGCTCATTTTGTAAATTCTAGTTCTGCTCACTGAGAATTATTTTTTAAGGTTTACCCTCTGTCATGAGAAAAAATGATGCAACTGTGTGGCTAATTCACTTTTGGTTTTGTGGAGAACACCTGAAGTGTTCTTGAATATATTTTTAAAATCAGTTTTAACAGTTTAAAGTCTTATTGAGAGGCATTTGTATACTAAAGAAGTTACTGAACTTCACACTGTTAAAAGAACGTGGGTGGAAAACTTGTGGAAGTATTGTCCAATTAATATAGTGGTGTGAATAATATTTTTTCAGATATATTCATGATCACAAGTATTAATTACTGAACGTAGAATTGTTCTCATTTGATTACTAAGCAAACACAGTAGATAGCATATGTTAAAAATCTAAAGCTAATTCATATAGCAGCAAAAGATCTGGTAGCATTTTTACCCTATAAATGTTGCTTCTTGACATGAGCCTTAGAATCATTAGAATTAGGTGCAGCAGGAAATCAGACAGTTTTAATCATGACTTTGAAGATGTGAAAAATGTTCTTGTTTCCTGAATATTCCATACTGCAGTCCATATTTTTTGCTTACAAAGTAGTATTTTCTTTGCAAAACAATCTTGTCTTCATTTTTTAATTTGTGTTGCATTACACCATGAATTGTAATTATTTAGGGGATGATTACTGTCACGTGGGACATGGTGGAAAAAAATTCCCGGGCAAAAAATAAATTAATTTTTCTTCTTCAGCTGCAGATAAAGATGACAGTTCAGAAGACATATCAGTGCCAAGCAGTCCACACACGGAAGCTATTCAGCACAGTTCTGTCAGCACTTCCAACGGCGTAAGCTCAACTTCCAAGGCAGAAGCGGTGGCCACCTCCGTTCTCACCCAGATGGCGGACCAGAGCACAGAGCCGGTGCTTTCCCAGATCGTCATGGCACCTCCCTCCCAGTCGCAGCCTTCAGGAAGTTGATTAAAAACTTGCATTGCATCAGTTTCTTAGATACACATTTGTGACTTTAAAGGGAAATCAACAAAAGACCAGTCTCCATCTAGGAGAAATTGTAGCTTAAAATTACTCGTTTTTAAAAATCCAATTTAAATTTGGCTTTAACGATTGGCAGGTGAAGATGAGGCAGAACACCACTTCTAGTCTCTTTGCAAAAGACTTTTTTTTTTTTTAAGTATTAGTTTTACTAGTTATTTTTTGTGCTTAATGTGTAAAGTGTGTGTACAGTACAATGTGGTTTATTTCATTTTTAATTCGGTATTATTTCAACAAACATTGGGGTGAATTACTAAAGGTCATCCCCAAGACTGTGATAGTAATATTATGTGACATTTTTATACCAAAGTTCTGCATAGTCCCTATTGACTTTGTAACGTTAGCAAGGTCATAAAGCACTAGGCAAGAGAAAGACAGTAACAGTAAATTTGCTTTTAGTCTTTTTGCCTTTTTGTTGTTTTGCACATTATGAGAGGAAGAACATTGGGAGATAAACATTTGGGTTGGTTTATGTATAGCATTTTGGTTGGCTTTTTAACTGTTGGGGTTTTTAATTTGTTTAATAGGGCCAGTACAGTATATGAGATACAGTACTCTTATGCACATACCTATCCTAGATGAAGATCATTACTAAATAGAGTTGATTTTTTTTTTAATTTTAAATTGATGTCAGGTGGTTTTTTTGTCCCCGCCAACACTTTCATTCTGGGGGGAGGAGAGCTTTATTTCTCCAGTCAGAATAGGTATCTATAAGTACCCTTTGTTGCTAGGCTGAAACCAGTAAGCATATTGTAAAGTACAGGGTTATCAAATACGGAATATTTAGTATTCCGAAGTAGGTTGATATTTTGTGGACTTTTGAGTCGCAGACTAAGGAGTTTACTCATGGTTTTGGATGCCAGAAAAGCCTAAAATCCTTCTTCAGACAACTCAAGACTTTTTTTTGTCATTGTCTTGTATTTGCAAGCTAACTTGTACTTAATTCTTGTGTAAGCACTGTCATCTTTTAGTAGCAAAAATTTTGATACCTTTCTTGTGGAAAAAAAAAAAAAATCAGTATCTACCGTATCTTGGAAACAATGTAATTATAATGTGGTGTGTGTGGTGTGTGCGTGAGAATGGTTCAGTAGTTAATGCCAGCAGTCTTTTGCTTGAATGTTTAAAGATGCCTTCAATGTGATGCTGGCTGATAGGTGATTGCAGTTTTAAAATGTTATTTACTGTGCGAACTTGGATAACTAACATTCCATGATGTAGTTTGTTTCTGATGAGATGATTGTAGGTACACTTTTTCTCATTATCCAATCATCTGTAGGATATTGAGTTTTTTAAATGTGCCATTATCTATTTTGATTCTGTACTCATGTTCCAAATACAGTACAATATTTTACAATAGATTAAGTTGTTTAAAAAAAGTAGATGTGTGCTTTCAGGTCAGAAAACTTTGTATAATAGCAAAAACAGATGCATAGTAGCAACTGGCAGTAAAGCAGGATTCCATTATGTATATAACAAAGATTTAATGCATTTATAATGGGTTGTGTAGTTCATTTGCTCTTCCTTCTCCACACTATACTATGTGTTTTTAAGTGTCAGTGCCATCAAGTTTCTATTTGATTCCGTTTTGAATCTAAAAATGTAATTGATCCACAGGAAAATCATAATTTCTACAATATATATACAACCATACTATAATGAAAACTGGACAAAGAAGTATCTAAGTCATATGTGTATCATTGCAGGGCTTTAAGCATGAAAATAATAGGGATTCTAAATATTTTGTATTTTAAAACTAAGAAAGTTGAGTTGATAACCTCATGTGTTTAAAAGTCTTACTTTCCCAATTCCAAGATAAAAAGCTGTCACAGTTATTGAACGTTTCCAGGATGATGAAATACAGTGGACCTCTTGTGAGAAGGAAATTAATGTCAAAGGCACAAAATGTGAATTCTGCGAGAAAGCTATACAGTCACTTTTCATTGTAGTTTTGGTGGACTAGATAAGGCCTCATTGATTCTGCTATAATTTGCTCTCCTAAACACAAAGGCTTTTAAATCATATTTATATAAGTGGAGTTTTTTTATAACAAAACTGTCGCGCTTGTAAAATAAGTCTACATAAGTGTATAGGAGATGTGTAAACAGTTAATGAATTTAACAGTGGGGCTGGAAAAAGAACCATTAAAATCTGTGTTCAGCAAATAGAGAAAAGTTATTTGTCGTACTACCATGGATTCCATTTTGAGACGTATGTCACACTACTTCTGTACTTAGCATTTTGGGTCTTTACATTTGACATGTTTCACAAACTGTACTGTTTTCTTTTATGTGCAGTTTGCATGAGTAAATCATCAAAGAGAATAAAATCTATCTTTAAGTTATGTTCCTATTTTAATGAAATTATAATTGTTCTAAAAGGCAGCACCGTCTTCAGACTTCTTTCTTCATCCTTGCAATTACCAGCATTTTTCTGGGAGTCATTACTATCATGTCCAAGTAACATTACGTAAATAAGAACACGTATGTTTCCTTCAAAAATAAGCCAAATTCCATTGCTCTGCAGTTGAGTTCCAGCAGCTTCGGAGGAATCAGCCTTGTATCGTTAGTTCGAGGAGCACAAGGTAATCCACAGGTAACGGAGTTCATAAACATAGCTTGGTGATCCCAGATGTTGCTCAGCCACTTCTGGTTGCCCTGAGTTCCACAGCAAAAGTGTTGTGCATAACTGGAGTTCCCAGCCAACGTTCAGATACCTTAGCCTTATCTTGATATGCACCAAGCTAGGAAATAACAGCTGTAGTCAGACAAACTGCTCACAATTTTGTTGTGAAAGGTTGAGAAAAGATTGTGCCCTCGCGTTTTGACTTTTAGAACATTAAAAATGGTTTGGGGCTTATTTATGGATGTTGGAAACCTGCTATATGGTGTGGCGCGTCCTGTTACATCATCGTTTGAAAAGCTCTTGACAGAACTCTGATACAGAGGCTTGGGGTTGGGGGGCGGGGGGAAGGTAGAGTTGCTGTGTACTTGCATCTATTGCATGTGTTGACCAAAGGAAGTTAAATTTAAACAGCACACAACTTTGAGCCCAATATGAGAATGATGCCCAAGGTCTCTGTTGCTTCATTATGTTCTTTTTCTGACTAAGTTACACTTGTTACGCCAAGAAAACAAACATGAAAGCTGTGTGACGGGGCAGCTGGGGGGG